AAACCGAAAGATACCCTTTCTTTAAGTATAAAATGTAAAGAAGGCGTAATTTCCTGCCAAACGAATACAAAAATATTTTTTTTCGTACATGTTTTCTATAAGGCAGTCAAAATAAATGACAAAAAGGCGTACTATTTAAGAAGCCGCTTTTTACAGTACTAACTTTTACTTAGCGGTCAGAAAGAAAACTCATTAAAAAGCCGGCATCCTGACGTAACCTAAATGTATTGAGATGAGGCTGTACGATGGTCATTTTTAAAACCATACGTAATTAACATGTTTGAATCGAAAACACATTTCAGAATTCTGGGTAACATTTCATGAGATAGGGAATCTACTGTAGTATACACGTAAATGTTATCTGCAAAGGATATGGTCCCTTGAGATCGGTTTCTATATTTTGTTAGTTGACTTTACCACTTCATCATTCTTAAATTCGTAAATTTCGTAGGATGTGAACATTAAGCGACTCTCAGTAGTAATTTGGACCTAAGGGTGCTTGCAATACGTGGAACTGGATTGATTTGATATAAAATCACACATGACAGTACGCTGGATTCCAGCTGAACATACTTTCACCTATCACTACTTAAACACCTATTAATGAATGGGCAATTTTCTATTTGTCCCCTCTAAATTTGCATTAATAGAGCGGTATTTAACTGTAAACGCCTTCTAAATTTGCGCGCTTTGAATTAGATCACCAATGAATGTAACATAGGTTATTAACTCCAGCTTTTGTTTAAGCACAGTATTTTTACATGCTTGTATGGTTTCCAAATTTCAAACAGTGCAGCGTTTCTGAAAAATCTTGTCCTGTTCACTTTAATTAGATGAAGAGATTTATTGTGGATCACAAAATCTTTCTATAAGTGTAACTTGTATTACACACTCTTTGTCGATAGTAAGGAAAATGTGGGCATTAACCGTCCCCAATAAATAGTTCACTGCCGCAAAACCTCTTAGAATATTTTGGCACTGAGATAAGCTGTTCATTGCAGCATACAGAAGATTGTCAAACTGATGATATGTCGTCGTATGGACGAGAAAATTAATGTTGCCTGGAATCACGCATTTGGCTGAACTCTCCCCCCCCGATGTTTTACAGCAGTAAATTAAATACCCTAAAAGGCCTAAGTTTTTTGAAAAAGTACTATTTATTAACAAAAGAGTAGTGAATTTTCATTAAAACTCGAAATTCTGATGATTGTTTGATTACAGGTCACTGATCTAATGTTCACTATAAATTTTTTTAAGGCAGGGGGTGTAAACTGGTAAATAAACGCAGAATAAGTACTAAAACAGCGTTCTATTACTTGGTAGACTGTCCATGAACATTTTAAACAGCATTACGTCTGTCAGAAGTAGAGATGACCAGGTTGTCTATGGTTGGTTTGTTCAACGTGATTGTTCAGCACGAGGTCATGTCTTCTCGCATGGCAAGATACTTCTTTGCCTTTTGCCAATTTATTTTGATGACCGCAAACATATTTTCTATAGGATTGAGATCAGGGTTGTTGGTAGGAATAAAGGTCATACTATCGATCAATTTTTCGGTAACATTACTAGGTTATATAATTGCGATTATCCGTTGAACAAGAGCCAGTTTTTTCATGCATTGGCTTTCTTAGGCACGAGTCATAAATGGACTAAGGATCACAGTGTCTCAGGCCACTTAATATTGTACCTGTAGTTAAGCAACTGTTCTTTACAGGCCAAATTCACAGTTTCGGTTAGCTTCTCATGACATTGCGTGCGTGCCTTAACTTGATTGCAAAACAATTATAAACTATCAAGTAAGTGGTATTGACAACGATTCGTCCTCTTCCTACATAGGACATGACTCTTTTCGCCGGTGACCTACACAACGCCACAGTCGTATGCACACAGGTGACTGAGCTGTTGACACTAAATCGGAGGGACTTCCTTAAGGCCTGTGAAAACACTTCTCCACCACTGCTCGAAGAATGCATTCAGGGCTTGAAGAATTCTTGGGCTCTAAGTGGCTGGCCCATCGATCGCATTCCAAAATATCCCGGCAGCATCTACATGATAACGACGTTCAAGTAAGTTCGTTCACTTACAGTTGACACACCCGATAGTAAACGTGGATGCCTATTTTGAATTTTGGGCAGGACTGTCTTTAGAGGTCCTTTTTGCCTTTGACTTATAATACTAACCTTCTTTTACATTTTCGGTAACCCGACTTTCCCATTTTTCGTTAAAATCCGCCAACAAAGGATTAAATTTATCTGAATAGGCACCAATTTCCTGAGCAACAGACGTCTATGTTGATGAATAGGATTCAATGTAGTACAGTAAAACATGTATAAGTTTCTTTAATTTAATATATTTGATCACCTCCACAACGATTAAGTATTTATTTACACTCCCTAACCAAGAATTAAAAGCTTGACTATAAAATACGTTAGAAAGTTGAGCGGAGGGAATAGATATTTAAGGGGCTCTACAAGATAATTTTTCGGAATTTTGTTATCGGAGAAGAATAACAAGATGGCACTGTGTGATCCATCGTTTTGAAATCACATTTTCCTCGGACGCCTGCTATTAAAGGGCAACCACTTTCTAACGGTTATAGTAATCTTCCTAATGAACATGACTCGGTTAGTAAGAACTTTTGATGGTGTGTTTTGTTCAGTTCATTTTAATGAAAGCAAAGACAGGCGAACGCCTTCGAGCACCCCATCGGAAAAGTGGCTTGAAAAGGCATCGATACAGAAGAACAATTAAAAAGAGGTCTTTTGCATAATAACAAGCGAAAAGCAAGCAGCAATCGGTTATGCACGACTTCTCACTTAATACGAGTAGTAGACGTATGAGTTGTACTTGTAATTAGTTTGATCCCATATACTCTCCTGTAACTGGTGAATAAGAAGCTTGATGCATATCTAATTTGCTCTGGAATGAGTTTACACAGATGGAGAGAACAACATATTCGGGCAGAAAGTTCCACGCTACCACCACTCTGCTACTGTCATTTTACGTTCAGTACAAGTATTATAATTACACTTATAGGAGTTAAGGCTAAGACGTTTAAAACTAACACCTACAATCATTCAGGCCCTGGTTCCTTAGGAGATAGGAGAAGTCT